ATGATGCTATAAAAGAAAAATAACCAAGTGCCCCCAACTAGCTCACTCCTGAGACACGTCTTCACTTTGTAACTAGCTCTAATTGTGTCTTGTGCCACAAAGAAATATTCTTTGACCATCAAGTTTTACAGAGGGTTTCCACACTTTAATCTTTCTACCAATGCATGTCTGAGACCATATCCTCAGTCACAGAATTTGAATTCAAGGAGAGAGAGATGACAATTGAATTTTATTGGGAATGGAAGCTTATAATCACCTCTCACAAGGGAACAAAACTTTCCAAGTACAACGTGTGCTGCTGCTGGCTTTTTTTGTTCTGTCTTTGGCACAGTTGAGATCACCTCACAGGGAAATGACTCAAAGAAGCCTTTCACCCAGTTTTACCGGTTACCTTGAAGATCAGGATTTCTTGGAAGGGAGCAAGTTTGCTTCTTCGCCTAGAAACTCTTGCATATTGTTTGGTTGTGTAATGATAAATCACTCCCCCTAAGTTGCCTTGTTAGGTGTTTTTAATAGGGATACAATGAGCTTTCATAACTCCAAGTGCTTGGAAACCACTCTTTTATCTTTAACCTCTTGTTTTCCCTTTTTTCAGCTTTTAACGTATTTGCAAGGACAGATTTGCCCATAATGTGGGTCCATTCAGATTGCCCACATTTTAGGAACCTGGCAGTTTCTAACAATGAAGGCAAATTAGAGGGCTTAATCGGACAGCCTTGCTCCGGAGTGCTCCTTCTCAAATCTTTTGGTGCAGTGGGGGAATAAAACTTGCCCCCATTTACAACTCCAAAAATACTCTTAAATTAGCGTAAAGGCTGCTTCTGCTATCTGCTAAAACTGTCATGAAAAAAGGTACAGGTCAGAGTTCTTAACTGAGGGGTCCATAGACTGATTTTAGGGGATCTGTGAACTTGAATGGAAAAAAAATATTTCTTTATTTTGAACTTAATTGATTTCCTTTGTAATCCTCTGTATCCATAGGCTTCTCCAGAAGGTGGAAGGGGTCCAGGACACAGACAAGGCTTAAGAACTAGTATAGTTTGATCATAAGCATTAGGGAGAGACAGCAGTGTGTGGTGGCAAGGATATACCTGCATTTGGACCCCGATTCCCCTATTTCCTCTACTTTTGTGACAATAGACAAGTCATATAACCTGCCAGAGCCTCAGTTTCCTCATCTGTAGAACAGAGGTAATAATATTTGTAAGACCTATCCCACAAGGTTATTGTGAAGATCAAATGAAACCAGATGTGTAAAGCAAATTGTGAACCTTAAAGGGCTCCTTAAATGTTAGTTACTGTTATCATCAGTGTTATGAAGACAAACTTCACAGGCTGGCTAAGAGATGGACATAGGTTCCTGGAGCAATTTTTGCTACTACTATAGTCTCCTCTTAATTTTCACTTTTCAAGTTTTTTTCTTTCCCTTTTATTTTCCTTTCCTCCTCTTTTTATTTTTTAAATATTTTTTATTTTTTCCAATTACATAGCATTTATTTTTTTCTCTAATCAGCCTCCCCCCACTTCCCAGAGAGACAGAGACAGAGACTAAGAGACAGAGAAATAGAAAAGTTGAGCAGTGTGGAGGAGTTCCTGTGCACCATCCATCCACCTGCCCTATTACCCACTTTTGCTAACAGGGCTGTCTTTCCCTGTTGGTGCCAGACCATGAAAAATGACCTCTGGCTTTGGTCATTAACAGAATGTACCTTTTGGTCTCTTGACATGCATGATTCATTTTGAAATCGCATAGGAAGCCCTTCTAATATGGAAACCCTCTTGCAAATGGGGTTCCTTTGAATAAAATAGCAAACTCTGGTTCAGTAGTCCTTACTATTTTTGTTTCTTGGACCCCTTTGACAGTCTGATGAAGTTCATGAACTCCTCAGAATAATTTTTTGAATGCATAAAATAAAATATGTATGATTACAAAAGAAACTTATAAAATATTTTTATTTACAAAAAGTATTTTTTAAAGAAGTTCTCAGGTTGAGAACCCCTGTTCTAGACCCTACACCTACTCCTCTTGAGGATTCTTTAGAATCGATCCATTTCCAGACACAGGTGAGCATAGGATGAACCTGAGTAGAGAGATGTAGTAGAGCCCCTCACAAAAGTCAAGTCCTCTTGGAACTCTCAACTGTGATGTGGAGTCAACCCTGGGTCAGGGTCGTAGAAGGCTCAGGCCATGGAGCACAAACAGGTGCCGTGAAGCTGCAGGTTTTGAGCAAGGGGTCATAGTGATGATTTGTATGAGTCTGAAGAGACTCAACCTTCTCAGCTGGCCAGAGATGGATTTTTCCATGCCATCAGTCTGGGAAAGGTTGGAATCTATGTCAGAGGAAGAAGCAGATTCTTAAAATCTGAAGTGTGCAGCCTAGTGCAAAGAACACTGAATTAGACGGACTTCAGAGTATGGATGCTTCATTTCTTGGGACCTCCTCCATTGTAAAATGAAGGGGATTGGACTAAATGATCATCTCTGATCATTCTGGTTCTAATATTATCATTCTATGTATAACTGGCTTTAATGAATAAAGAAGGTAGAGAAAAATGTCCCATAGGTTTTTTAAAATTAATTTTTTTCAATTTTCAAGCATTTATTTCCCCCCACCCATCCCATCATAGACTTCTTAAAAGCAGTGGAATTGAGAGCAAAAACTGAACTTAATGCATAGGATCATAGATTTATGGCAGGAAGAGACCCTAAATTCTGCCTGATCCCATCCCCCATTTTATAGCTAAGGAAACCTCTTTGTAGTGTCCAAAATCACGGAGGTAGAAGTGATAGAGGCATAATTTGAACCCAGCTCCTCTAATTCCAAAGCCAGGGTATGCTTCCCACTGTTACACACTGCTTCTCTCTATATATAATCTATATTGTCAGCTGAGCTCCAAAATGCCCGCATGACTTTTTCAATTTGAAAACTTGATTTAAAAGAAAAAAGTGTGAGGTGAGAGGAAGAGAGGAAAGCCAGATTACTGCTGAGAGGAGGAAAGCCAGATTACTGCTGAGATGAGAAAAGGTTATTCTATCCCTTAGCGCAAATGCCCTAAGTACCACTTCTTTAAGCATATGTAATAGTCCTTTATCCTCACGGGAGAAGGAAGTTTTAAAGGGTCCACAAGGTCTTTAAATACTTGAAAATTAAATCACATGCACCTTATTAAAATAAAACTAAGAAAGGCCTTAAAGTTGGAATAGTTTAAATTTACTATGTTTCCCTATAGACACTGAAATCCTCTCTGTATTAAAGTATTCAAGCTAGAAGGGACCCTCGAGGTTATCAAGGCTGACTTCCTCCCTTTACAAATGAGGAAAGATACATACTAATGAAACTAATAATTCTTTATTTGACTTTCTGTAGAGTGTAAATAAAGGCTGGATTCCTCATGGAAAGCTTCATTCTACTGTCCCAAAAAATTGGTTTAGGATTACAGTTTAATAGCTTTAGAACTGGAAAGGACATCAGAGGTAATTTTGTCCAGGCTCCCTTTTTGGGGACGGGGAAGGAATAGGGGAATGGAAAGAAGCATGTATGAACCATAGTACCAAAGTACTCTTAACAAATATCTCATTTGATCCTCACAACACTCCTATGAGGTAGATGCTTTTTGTCCCCATTTTGTAGATGAAGAAACTGAAACAGAGGTTAAGCAACTTACCATGGTCACATAGGTACTAAGTGTCTGAGGTCACATTTGCACTCAGTTCTTCTGACTTTTTAAAGATGAGAAAATTGAAGCCTAGAGTGATTAAGTGGCCTTCCCAAGGTTATACAGGTTGCAAACAACAAGACTAGGATTTGAACCCAAGTCTTTTGACTCCAGATTCAATGGTTTTTTTCCCACTCCGTCAGTCCTAGGATGGGTTTACAGCCTCCTCCTACACCCAATTTAAGTTGAACCTTGTGTCTCATTCTATAAGAGTTGAAGGTACAGATCAGGTGATGTGACAGCTACAAGTTATACATTCTTGATTTAGGACCCATCGTTTGGTGTTAGTGGATAGTTAATAGATAGATAGACAGACACACATCTTTTGTTAACATTAGGACTCAAGGATTTTTTTTTTCTTGTAAGATAGTATGTATGTGAATGGGGAGGGTTTGTTAGTTTTCAGGTAACATGTAACTCTTCGTAGGCCATTCAGGAATCTCTATACTGTTATTACTAGTAATTTATGAATGTTTTATTCTACTAATTTAGGATATTTTAAGTCCCTCTATTATCCCTCCTCCAAAAAAAATGTAGAAGGAACTGAAATCAGTTGCTAATTTAAAATGTTGACTGTGTACCCTTTTAGCATTAAAGAAGGGCTGGTTCTGTAAAAGATATAGGTAAAGAGACTAGTACATTATTTCCACAGTGTTCAAAAATTTTCGCTCTTTCTCATGGACAAGACTCACTCCTTGATAATCCTCAGAGCTAACACCAATGTGGTGCTTTAAGGTTTGGAAAGCACTTTCTATATGTTACCTCATTTAATCCTCACCACAATGTGATTAGGTACCATTATCATCCCCCATTTTACAGATGAGTATGCTAAGGCTCAGGGGGATTAGGTGACTAGCCAACAAGGACAATCTCACAACCTTGCCCCCCCAACTCTAAAGCCAGACTGCTTACCACTTCCCAACCCTGCTGCCCTGCTGAATTGTGTTAGTTGTTGGCCTTTGCTGGCAGGGCAAGGATTAGTTCATGGAGGTGAACAGAGCCCCTCTCTTTAGAATTGTTTTCTGTACCTGGTGGTTCTGGTGAGCCATTTGCTAGAGAGCCCCAGTTTGGCTTCACTCTTTGTAACTGAAACACTGTTAACTTCTGGGAGAAATCAGTGAACAACCTCAATGAATAAAGAGAATCTTTAGTTTCTTTCCTTAAAGCAAATATTTATGAAGCATCTTCTTTGAATAGAGCACTCAGGGGACTTCTTTGTTGGGATATATGTTTTTTTCTCTTTCTTCCCCACTCATCCACCTTCTCTTCTGTCTTTTTACCAGGGGACTGATGGTGCAAGGAGATCCGCGATACTTGACAGTGATGAACCATTGTCGTTTTTCTACGATGATGTAACAACACTGTATGAAACCTTCCAGAGGGGTATACAGGTGTCAAGTAAGCAGTTATGTTGAATTTGTGTGACAGATTATGTGTTGTCATGAAGCTTGTAGTGATTGATAGAAAATCAGCCCTGGCCTCACCTTCATTTGCCTCCCCATCCCCCATTTACTTCTGCTCTGGCACTGGGAGGACACTGTGACACATGTTGGGGTCCATGCTGCTCACTGACATCATGGTGGTAATGATGCTGTTATCTTTCCTCAATTCTAGAGAAGTTCCTCAGATACGCAGCTCCTATTTTATTTTGTTATCTGATGAAATGAGATACACATGGAAAGCAATTTGCAAACCTCAAAGCAGTGTATAAATGTTAGCTATTATTACTATTATTATTTGTTGTTGTTTTGTTTCTCCCTGTACTTGAAGAGGACCAATGACGTCACAATGTTAGGGTCAAGGTGTAGTGTGTCTGACTGGCTGATCAGACCAAAATGGGCTCAGAAGGTACCACCACAGATAGTCCGTTTGAACATTTGGATGGCAATAATATCTTATTATAATTATGTAATACAACATATAATAATGGATAATTAATAATAATTATTATATAATATGATGCTTATAAAATATTGTTATTTAATTTTTTTTCTCCTCCCTCAAATATAGTCTATCTTTGAATCTCATGCTATACTTTCATATAAAGAACTCAAATAGGGTTTTAAAACTTTTATAAGGTTTCTTGGTGCTCTAGCATCTCTTTCCCTTCCTGTCCACTCAGTAGGGAGAAAATCTTGAGGCATACTATGTCAGTTTGTGCTTTTTATGTCCCACTTCCCATGAAAGACCACCAAAAAAATAATGAACATTTATTGTTTACAAAGCACTTTCCCCCACAATAACCGTGTTAGATGGGTGGTAAAAGTACTATTCCCAATTTACAGTGCAGATAATTGAGGCTTTGTAGGGAATTAATTGAGGTCCCCGCCACAGCTAGTAAATACTGGAGTTGGGATTCAAACTCAGGTCTCCAGGCTTCAGATTCAGGACTCTTTCCATTGTACCTTGAACCTAGATGGATAGCCCAGTGGAGAGGCAGGCTACACAAAATATACTCCCTCCCCTAAAGATATTATTCCCCTCCCCTTTTCCCTTTTTAAAAATCATCATATTTCTGGGGCAGCTAGGTGGCACAGTGGATAGAGCACCAACCCTCAAGTCAGGAGGACCTGAGTTCAAATCCGGCCTCAAACCAAGCACTTGACACTTACTAGCTGTGTGACCCTGAGCAAGTCACTTAACCCCAACTGCCTAAAAACTTAAAAAAAAAAAAAGCAAAAATCATCATATTTTAAATTTACCAAATATGATTTTTTTTTGGTAGCAAGCCAAATTGTTCACTTTTATGTTCCTGAGTATCTTGAAACCCGAATAGGGTGATAAAAAATATAAGTATTGAATATTTTTCATTTTTTCTTAAAATGTCTTACTTTATACCTCCAAATCAAAAAACAAGGCTATAAATGACTTTAGAAATTATGAAATTGCTATTTCAAATCTTCTTTTTAAGAAGAGAGGATAGTATAACTTGGATCTTTTCCTTGGCTAGAAAAGTTTTGTTACCTTTGGGGGCTTAGGGTTCAGGAGGTAAACTTTGGGGTCTAACATAGACCTGAATTCAAACATCCACTTGGATGTTTGAAATTCTTATCTCCATTTTTATTTATGGACTTAGCACATGAGTAGCTCCATTACTAGAGAAAGTGAATTTCCAAAGATTGGGAGTATCACGTTGCCCTAGGCCTGCTCTAAAAAAAGTTTTTGGATTAAAATTATTCTTTACCCGGAGGTGGGAGTCTCTGAAACTATAAATAAAGCAGACTGGGGTTCAAGCAATGTGTGTTCCAGCCATCTGTGCTAGTTCTCCTACCTGTGGAGTTAGGCCACCTAACTCTGGACTTGACCGGAGTATTGAGGTACCATTGAAGCTCAGTTGTCTATGCTAAATAAAGGAGAGTATGGGTACAGATAACCATGCTTTCTTGTCACTAACTTTATGCTTTTCATAGGCTAACATGAAAATTAATTTACTCAGAGAAGCTCACAATATTGTTTACTAGAGACAGACTGGACAACAGGATACGTTTTTAAGAACCTACTGTGTACCAGGGACTATGCTAGCTACTAGGAATACAAGGCAAAAATGAAACAGCTCCTGCCCTCAAGAAGCTTATATTCAAAAATGTAACCTTGTGGATGTAGTGAGTCTGGAGGGTGTTCTAGTTTCCTAGGCAGTCCTTCTGCATGTGAGAAAGGAATACTTGTTTTAAGGATAACAGACTAAAGAGTGTAAAAGAAGGAAGGGGTCAGACAGAGATGTGTATTCTCCCATCTCTGACAAGTAGATCTGTGTTTGTAAGAGGCATCCGTTCTGGCACATGCCAGTACTTTAATATAATGGGAAGAGTTACTAATGATTATAATTAAAGGTACCATTCCTTCACCACCCCCTCCCTTCTCTTATCCAAATTAACATTTGTGAGAAAATTGTGAAGCGAAGGGATTGGAGATCATCTCCTCCAGCTCTGTTTTACAGATGAGGAAGCTGAGGCACGGAACAGTTAAGTGAGTTTTCCAATATCTTCTCTTCCGTTGGTAACAGAACCAGGGCCAGGTCTCCTGATTGCCAGCCTAGGGAATTTTTTATTATACATGCTAGTATGCAGTCAAGGCCTTGTTGATGTTCTTGTGGACAAGACTTTAGAACTGTGGAGGTATTATTATTATTCATGCCAACCCCCTCTGTCACTCAGTAAGTATTTATTAAGCACCTACTAAGTGCCATATACTGTGCTAAGTACAGGAGACACAGAAAAAGGAAAAAAAAAACGGTGTCTGATCTTAAAAGGAAACCAAGGCCTAGGAGGCATAGTGACTTACCCAAATTGCTAAAAATCCCTTAGCATATATGGGCAGCTTTTGGTTAGTTATCTGAATGTGGAATACATGTCCAAAAAAAAAGTTAAACTTTGCTTTGCCCACTTCTGCAATAACTTTTTCAGTCATCTGTGTATTGCAAAAGGATACAAATGAGATTTATTAGCCTAATTGGCAAAAATCACCACCATTCTAAAATCAAGAAGAAATGGTTTTTCGATTATCTATGTTATCCTTCTTTAGTGTGAATTTGTTATGAATTTACTTCTTCTTGCCGATGCCACCAGTCTCCAAAGCCAACTTAAACATTTTTCCTCTTACCAAATCTAAAAAACACAACCTGAGAGACCCAGGGTCTCCTTATCTTTGCCCCTGAGGGCCCACCTCCATTTCTTTACCCTTATTTCTTGTCTTTTTCTCTCTTCTGTGACCAAGACTTTTTACTTCCTGTTAAGAACCTAAACTCTTGGCCAACAGGATTTGCAACTAGCACTTTTTCTCTCTTCAGGCTTTTATGAGCTTGAATAAATCATGAGACTAAAGAAATAACCTAAGGTAATCGCTATCTTTTCTGAATTTGCACTAAAGCACTGAACATGACTAAACCAAGCAGAGCTTAGGAATAATTTATCAGTTATTTGTTGTTGTTTCCTTAAAACAATAATGAAGCCCAGATCTAAACCAAACTGCCAGGCAATAATGCAAATCTAAGGATAATGCTTTGTCTTAAAATGTCTTCCTTTTTTAAAATTATTTTTAGATGATGGCCCTTGTTTAGGCTCTCGGAAACCTGGTCAACCGTATGAGTGGATTTCATATAAAGAGGTAAGATCTGTGTTTTCATACCTTATTTAACTTACATACATGTCATTTAATCGTGGACACATTATAATAGAATATTTGTAGAGCTAGAAGGAATTAGAGATCACCAGTTCCCCTATTTTACAGATGGAAAAACTAAGGCCTATTGAAGTGAATGATGCATCCAGGGTTGCATAGAGCGGGTTAATGACTGACTCAGGACTGGAGCCCAGGTCTCCTGACTGCAGGGCCAGAACATGTTTCCCAGTTGTCCCCCTGCCCTATCCTGATTCCACTGCTCATATTTGAACCTGGAATGCTGTTTGTCCTGATCCAGTCTTGGGAAATAGCACAGATGCCCAAAGAAAGTGTTTAGAAGGTGTAGGCTGGTGCCTGAACAGTGAGATTCTTCATGAATTTGGAAACAGAGGAAGTATTGGCACTCTGCACAATTTTCCCCCCAGGGCACTTTGATTCATGGCTGCCTCCCCCCCACCCCCCTTAAATAGCTGTGTTATGGATGGCGGAGGGATTTAACTGAATTGTAAAAGCTTTACAGGGGGTGGAGAAGTTTGTAGGGAGGGTGGGGAGGGGTTGTTTGCCACAAATGTAGATCTTACTGCATTTCCCCAGGCCAAATGGTCCTCTGGGAACAGCTAGAAATGTTGGCTTTGGGATGTTTCATGCTTAATAGTCCCAGAAAATTGGGCACTTCATCCCCAGGAAACCCAACTGCCTAAAAAAGTCTCCCTCCCAAATACCCCTGGGTATAGAAATAAGCACATATCAGAGATTCAGGTTAAGTGGCCAGATGAATTTCAGAGCAGCCATAACATGTTTTCTGTTTGTGTTTGGCACAAGAGTCAGTTCCCTAGCCCTCTTAGTTTAAGAGTGGTTTTACTGACAGTATCATTGGCTAACCACTGGAGGGGAGAGGTTGGAGTGTGGGTCTGGTCTCTGGTTTTAGCCACTTAGGTACCCAAGAGTTCTGTGATGTACTTGTCTTTCCTGCTTAGGCTTAAAAAAGTCCTTGTTTTCATCTTCATCCAGACGTTTTGAAAGAATGCCTTCAAAGAGTTTTTATTTTAGAGTTTTCAACTTCTGTGGGAGGTGGTTGGGTAGAGACATGAATAGATCTGCAAAAAGCCCCTCATTCTTCTTAGGACCAAGTGTGGGAATGAGGCTAGGGAGATTCTCTTCAGCTTCACTAAAATAGAGAATATCTTTTCTTTGAACCCTTGTTTTTCATCACGTCAAGAAAAACTGGTTTATTTAGTTTGATCATTCTGTCAACCAGAACTCTCTTTATTGTGTCATGATGAAAAATGCTGGATCTGGAGTAAAACCCAGACAAGCTTGGGAAAGTCATTTCAACCTCCCTGTACCTCAGTTTCCTCATCTGTAAAATGAAGTTGATACCTCTTAATATATTACCTACCTCACGGGATTGGTGCAAAGAAAGTGATTTGTAAACGCTGTATCATCAGAGAATGTGAGTTGCAGTTTATATTTTTTTGTTATTATATAAAAAGCAACCTTATAACTTTGATGAGCCTAGGCCCTGCAGTGTACTGAAATGCTTTCTGAATTGTCAAAGAAAGTTTTCATAATTTATCTTTGGTGTCATATGTCGTGGTACTTAAATCTATCTTCTAGTTCTTCAAATATATATATCTACCCATTAGAATCTATATATAGCATATACGTGTATGTTATGTGTGTGTATGCATAAAAATATACATGTAACACGCACATTTAATATATACTGTACATGTATGTTATGGTGTGTGTGTATTTATATGCATGTGTGTATGCATATAGCTATAATCTACATACATGCACACATATATAACTGCAATCTATGTATACACATGTAAATATGATCTGTGTGTGTGTATATATATATACGTGCATATATATAGCTATAATCTCTAGAAAGTGATTTCATTTTCTAACCAGATCACTGCATTCTCTGATGATGTTAGATATCAAAGTATTCTGCATTATTTGGACTATTGAGTTTTTTGAAGTTCCTCGTTCACATGTTACAGATTTGCTTTTGAAGAATATTTAAATTAGACTTAACTGTTTAAAAAAAACAGCCTGCTGGTCTTGGTGACTCAGATCTGTAATCTCTGCTTTCCAGGAGGCCAGGGTTGGTGGATTGCTGGAGCTCAGGAGTTCTGAGCCGCAATCCTGAGTCTGGTACAAATATGGTGAGCTCCTGTTGAGTAGCAGGGGGAAGAGAAGCAAGAATCAGTAGTGGAGGGCACCAGACTTGCTAACAAGGGCTGACCTGGCCCTGGTTAGAAAGGGAGGCCAATCAGTAGTAGGATCGGACTTGGGGATGGCCGCTGCACTCCTCTCCTGCTTGAGATAGGGAGACCCGTCCTCAAAAATAAAACAAAACTAAGCTAAAAAATGTAAATTGCAAATATTTTTCTGAGCCCCCCCCACTTATCCACAGTTATAAATATTAGAATCTTAACAGTAGTCTCTGGGACAATCAATTAATCCAGCCTTGTCAATGTCTGCCCTCCTGTAGGCAGAATGAGAGAAGGATCCAGAGAGGAAGCCCTACTAAAGTCTGAGGAGGATCCAGGTTTGGGGTCCCCCCCCACACACTAGAGCTATGGGGCTTTGGGCACATCTCTAGTTTCCTCATCTGTTGTTAAAGTGGGTATTATGATGTCTATCCTACCCACCTCACAAGGCGGTGGCACAGGGAGCACCTTCCAAAACTCACAGGGTTCTTTGATGGGCAGGTTGTTATGAGGCTTAAGATAAGGCGAAGGGATCTCGAGGACGGGTTAGAAGGAGACAGAAGAGGCTTTGGAAGATAGAAGTGGTCCTAGGGTGCCAGGAGAGCAGGGTCTCAGCCTTCAGAAACCCAAGAAGGAGAAGGAGTGAGGGGAAAAGGGGCCATTCAACTTAAACTGATGGCTTATTGAGGGCACAGTTTTAATAGAAAGTGGGAGAGGAGAGGAGATTGAAGGGAGGGAGGGAGGGGAAGAGAGAGAGAGAGAGAGAGAGAGAGAGAGAGAGAAGCACCTGAGGAAGTATTGTGTGGGTAGGGGCAGGGTTTGGGGTTTTGTTGTTACTTGTTTTGTTTTTAAAGATAGGCAAAGTATGGGACACCAGAGGATGTTGATAGTTGTTGGGAGTGCAGCCAAGAGGGAAGGAGGGAATAAGCATTTATTAAGCACCTACTGTGTGCCAGGCACTGTGCTAAGCACTTTACTATTACTTCATTTGATCCTTGCAGCAACCCTGAGAGGTAAGCGTTCTCATTATCCCCATTTTACAGTTGTGGAAACTGAGGCAAAGAGGGGTTAAGTGACTTGTCCAAAGTCTCAGGGTGAGTTTAAACTCAGATCTTCCTGACTCCAGGCGCAGTGCTCTATTCACTGGGTCACCAGCTGCCTCTGTACCAGACTTGTTCTGAGAGGCGGCTTGTTATAATGGATAGAGCTGGGCACTTGGAATCAGGAAGATCTGAGTTCCAGTTTAGGTCTTTCTGTGTTTCTGAATAATCAGGGATTGGGGTGGGATGATGATATCTATAATAATGCAAAAAAAAAAAAAATGTACTCAGCAGCCCTGAATTTAAAACTTTTTTGCTCTTGCTTTAAAAGGGACATTGAAAGCGTTGCTGTTTCTTTCTGTTATTTGCCCCAGATCAAAAAAACTTGGGCTGCTTTGCACGTGTGAAGGTGCCCCATACTGCAGAAACACGAAATACAGAAATGAAAACTGATGGCTAGGGGTGCAGATTGTTTTATAAGAGAATTCACCATGAGTTCCTTTAATGAGGATCTGCTCGGGGGTTTTCAAATGGGATTGAATTTACCCAATGTAAAAAACTGTCACTCAAGGCATACCTGCTTATGCCTGTGTGTGATGGAGTGGTAAGAACTCCAGATCTTGGTTCAAATGCTGGCCCCAAACCTTGCTGCAATGTCATAGGCAAGTGACTACCTCCCTAAGCTACGATTTCCTTATCTCTCTAAAGAAGATACAAATACTCCACTTATCTTGGAGAACTGTTGTGAGAAAGCTTCTGTGAAACCTTTGCCATCTCAGCAGAAGTGATCTCCTTCCATCCCCTCCGCCCTGTCTTTGTATCAAGGCTGGGCCATATCATGAATTGGCCGTTTACCAATCAGGGCTACGTTTGTGTGATTGCCAGGTGCTTCCCATGGGATTCTTCTTCTGACTTTCCTTTTATTTCAGGTTGCAGACAAGGCCGAGTGTGTGGGCTCAGCGCTGCTCCAGAAGGGTTACAAGGCGTCGCCAGATCAATATTTTGGCATCTTTGCTCAAAACAGGCCTGAGGTATTAAGGATTGAGGATGGACTGTTTGACTGCCTGGTCTTTAGCCTTTTGGTTTGCCTGGATTTTTGGTCATGCCTAGGGGTGAATAAGTATTAGCTTTCATGCACAATTTTGCCTTGTGCTCTGCTTCTCACTGAGATCCTGGCTTCATGTGAAGCCATAGATTTCAAGGGGATGCAAACAGATGTTCTCTCGGTGAGTGTCCTCACTAATAATGTGCCTGATCACACACATGTTATTAAAACCTCAGAACATATATTGGACAAAGACGAAACTTCTTTGTGTAAGGCCTTTAGTAAAAAAAATAAATAAAAATATTGTAACTTAGTAAATGAGCAGAAACCAAGTTAAAAATTTTCCAGTGAAAATACTCATTTTTATTCTTGCAACCAATGTTTTTGTTCTAGTAAGATTGTAAAAGTTAAAAATTAAATTCCTTGAGGATTGCCGTTAACACAGAAGAAAGCGCCTCAGGACTGGATAGCCCGTGTTAACTTGCAGCTTACAGCATTTTGTTACGTCCTTTCTACCAGACGGTCACACAAGATGTCAATACAAACACGGAGCAGATCAGTTAAACACAAATTACAAACATTTGTGATTTGACAGTGCAAAAGCAGTCGGGTTATTCTGCCACCAAGTCGGTCATCAGAGGAGCGGTTCCCACTTAAGCAGCGGTGTCACTCGTCCATCTTAGCATCTTCGTAGTATTCCTCCTCTTAGTCATCTTTGACCATCCGGACTGGTTTGCTGTCATTTTACCGTGTCATCTGTCGTAGACAAAAACAAAACACTTCAGGCAGAATTCTGTATCTCCTTCTTAGTTTTAAATATGGTGCATTGTTCATGTATAAGTAGAGAAAAGACACACTCTAAGTGAATGAGTCAGCTACCCTATCGAAGGACGATTTTATAATGAAGCAAAATTTAGAGCCGGTTGTTTACTTGATAAGAGAACAGCAGCTCCCTTTTTTTTCTCCTTTACAGTCACACTTGTTTAAGAGGTGAAGTTGTCTCTCTTATGCTACATTAAAATAGCATTTTCTGCAGAGATGCATTATGTTTCTGTCTTTGTGCAGTGAGCAAACAACATGTACCCTGTATTGAACAGTCAAGCAATCCAGAATTTTGGGAAAGAGAGCTACAGATCGAGAGGTAGAGAGACACAGAAAGAGGAAGAGGGAGGTGTAGACACAGATAGAGACACAGAGATGGGGGCGGGGTTGGGGAGAAGGATCGGAGGAAGGGTCAGGGACACCCAAGAAGAGTGTAGACAGTGCCCTACAAGTCTTGACGCCATTCCAGTAGCTTTAAACTGCACTAAGACTTTGGGGACACCCTGTCTACTTCTGCCTTTCCTAAACCAGAGGGGCAACTGTTTTTTACGTCCCAGTCAGGCAGGCGACATTTCACGTTCGTTGCTTCCATGACACTATCTATCCATCTCATCCTCTGCTATCTCCCCCTCCTTTTGCTTTCAACCTTTCCCAACGTCAAAGTCTTTTCCAATTAGTCCTGCCTTAGCCCTTTATTTTGTACTTTTTTCATAGAAGCTCAGAAAAAGCTCGGTTGGAAAAAAAAAGAAAAGAAAAAAAAAGAAAAAGCTCAGTTGAAAGAGACTTGAAAGGCCTTGTCGTCTAAACCCCTAAACATCTAAATCTGAACAGGAATCCTTCATTAATTGGTCATCCTGCCTCTACTTGAATACCTCCAGGGAAGGGTACCCCTTCTCCATCCTGTCTCAACTTCTGAAAACATTCCTCTCTTGGATACCTCTAATTGTTAGGTAGTTTTTTTTTTTTTTTAGTTTTGTTTTTTTGGTGAGGCAATCGGGGTTAAGTGACTTGCCCAAGGTCACACAGCTAGTACGTGTCAAGTGTTGGGTCTGAGGCTGGATTTGAATTCAGGTCCTCGTGACATCAGGGCTGGTGCTCTGTCTACTGTGCCACCTAGCTGCCACCGGTTAGGTAGTTTTATCAAAAATTACTTGTGCTTTTCTGCAGCTTCCGTGCAGAAGTCTGAGCCTTCTTCCATAAGATGACTGTCTTTGGGTATTTGAAAGTGTTTTTTCTCCCCATCCCCACCAAGTCTTCCTTATTCCAGGCTAAAAATCTCCAGTTTCTTCAAACCTGATAATGACATGAACACGATCTCCAGACTTTTTCTTGCTCTCCTGTAATTGCTTTCTTCTAGACTTGCTTTCCCTTATCAGTATTCTTCCTAGAAGGTGGGGTCCAGACCTGAAGACAGTACTGTAGATGTTGTCTGACCAGGGCATAGGCAGTAAGGACTGCCACTTCCTTTGTTCTGAATACCTTGTAGCCTAAGAGAGCATTTGGGTTGTTTGGTTTTTTTCCTAGCTATTTTTTCCTAGAATCCTTATATTATTTAAGTTCACACATATACATACATATTTATGCCTTGTTTTCTTGACTGGACTGTAAGCCCCCTGAAGGCAGAAACTACATTTTACACTGTTTTGTCCGCTATACAGTTCTCAGCATGGTGTCTGGCGTATAACTATGTTAGAGAGCTCTAGATGTTTTTTTAAGATGAACTTTTAGTACATGATGCTTCTATGACCTTTTTTTTGTTTTGTTTTGTTTTCTCTTCCATCCCCCACCATGTAGTGGGTAATTGTCGAACAAAGTTGCTATACATACTCGATGGTGGTGGTCCCTCTTTATGATACCCTTGGAAATGAAGCGATAACATACGTAATTAACAAAGGTAATTTGTTCATGTTCTTTCAACTAGATGTTGGCTTAGCAATTGATGTTTCTTTTGAATATTTATCTTCTATTTAATTTGGGGGTGGGTTTTTTTTAAATGGTGTTTATAGTATCATGGTACATTGTACTTGGGCCTTCAATAATGCCAAGTTTAATTTTAATTGTATCTTTTCTTTTGCAGCTGAACTGTCTTTGGTTTTTGTTGATAAGCCAGAGAAAGCGAACCTCCTGTTAGAATCTGTAGAAAACAAGCTAACCCCAGGTCTTAAAGTCATAGTCATCATGGATCCCTTTGACAGTGATCTCGTGGAACGAGGCAAAAAATGTGGAGTGGATATAATGAGCATGAAAGCATTGGAGGTAATTACACAGGATTGTTCTGCTGGCATGGGGAATCATAGCATGCAAGGGCTGGGAAAAACCTCAGGTAATATCATCCAACTTGCCCACTTTTCAAATGAGGAAACTGAGACCTAAAGAAATTAAGTGACTTGCCAGAGAACACGCAATTAGTTAGTGGCAGAGGTATAACTAGGATGTAGGTTCCCTAATTTCTAAATCCAATGATTTCCCCAGTTTATCATCCTGCTTTCTTGTGAATTTTTTACCGAGGGGTTAATTGGCTCCTTGGTCCACATATTCATAGCCCAAGAAAGGCAAGGTCGTGGGTTTTAATCCTTGTGTGTGCCAATTGGCTTCATCTTGTTCCATGACTATAGACAGTACTTCTAAGCTGGATTGGTCATTTTCCCTAGCCTAGTTATATAACTAAGAAAGTACAAATCCTTCTCTGTCTCTGGGACAGACAACTTACATGTGTCCAACAGAGTTAATACTAAAAGAAAACACATTGTGATGAACTTTGAAGTAGTCAGATATTTAGATATAGAGTAGTACTTATTATGGCCAAAGACCATGGGAAAAGTACCTGTGGTTTGTTGCTTGGAAGCAGACTTCCTAAAGTAACTCTTGCCTTCTCGGCCTTTTTGAATGTGAATTAGACTTTCAGGTTTCCACAAATTGGAAATCTGAAATGTGTGCTTGAAAGGTAGCATAGTATAGTGGATACAACACTGGGATTGGAGCCAGGTTGTTATTATTGTTGAGTAGCGTCCAGCTCTTTGTGAACCCATGGACCATGGCTTGCCAGGCCCTTCTGTCCTCCACTATCTCCCAAAATCTATCCAAGCTCATGTTCGTTGTTTCCATGACCCTGTCCCTCTCACCCTCTGCCATCCCTTCTCCTTTTGCCTTCGGTCTTTCCCAACATCAGGGTAAAATGGGTTAATTCCCACTTCTGATGTTACCTATGTGACCTTGAGAAAGTCAACCTCTCTAAGCCTCAGTTTTTTCAACCGTAAAGTGAGGGGGTTTGACTAGACAGATCTTCTCTCTTCTGTGTCTTAAATCTGGGGTCCAATGAACTTGTGACTCTAGCTAAGTCAATTGACCCACTTGAGTTTCCATTTCCTTATGGAAGATGGAAATAATAGCAACTATGTCACAGTGGGGTCGTGAGAACTGAAGGAGATAAAAGTACTTAGCAAACCTGAAAGCATCATAAAAACAAGTTATTATTCTTAGTTCATGATATAGTCCACCCAGATAGTAACTTCCTAGATGTCTGAAAAGCAGGAAGCTATTAATTTTTTTTTTTTTTTGGTGAGGCGTTTGGGGTTAAGTGACTTGCCCAGAGTCACACGGCTAGTGAGCATTATGTGTCTGAGGCTGGATTTGAACTTAGGTCCTCCTGACTGCAAGGCCAGAGTTCTATCCACTGCACCACCTAGCTGCCCTATTTAGAATATTCTTATAGAAATGTGTCTCCCTCAAAGTGCCCTCCTGAGAGCTTCTCCCTTAAATATTCATTTCTCTTTCTAAAGGTGGCAGAAAGGTCAAGATTCCTGCAAATGTGGATTTCTAGAACCTTCACAGGCTTCTCATGAGTGTGAAAGCTAGAGGTAGTTGGATCTCTTTGGGCTGGGCCGACACTTAAGTCTCTGTTGTAGAGGATCTGTTTCTATTTATTTTTGCCTTTTTCACCAAACTTAATGTATCCATTGTATTACATGAGCCAGCAGGATGTGTGTGTGTATCTCAGGCATGTCCTCCTCTGCGCACACACATTTTTAAAAAGGGTGTCTGTATGTAAGTCATACCTCCTGGGCTGGAAAAAAAATTGTATCAAAAGATGATAATGTCAAAAGAAATTTATATTTAAAATAGGCAGAACACTTAACTATCTTCAAATAATACTGTTTGTTTCCAACACCAAAGACCTTAGCACCTCTTAGATAAGAACAGTGGAATCTGTTTGGAAAAGTGATGCATAGTGCTTAATTAGGTTCAGGTTTACTTTCATCCTAATTATGATAGTTATTTGGTTCAGAAAATTATGCTTTCTTCATTGGAGAGTTAGCTGTTGAGTGAAGGATACCAAAGTGTCTGTGTCCTGTACTTAGCACAGCTCTTACCGCATAGCATCAAGACCAGACCAGATGGTAACTTAAATCCTATTTTCCCCCTGTTCTCTGTTTTAGGACCTGGGAAGAACTAACAGGAGGAAGCCAAAGGTACGTGTGTAAGGAAATCATCCCGTCAGAGTTTTGTTGTCTTCTCAGCACTGCCTCCTTTCTGTGGCATGAAAATATCCAAATCATCTCAGGACAGCAGGAGAGCCCTTAGCCTCCTTGGAATGTGTTATCCTTGACTGGCTTCTTCAGGCTCATACTAAACTTGTTCCTAACCATTTTAGCCTCCATCGCCTGGTGACCTTGCCGTGATTTGTTTCACCAGTGGGACAACAGGTAAGTTTTGAAATGGGAGAGCCTTTGCATAGTAACTGGAAGGTTTGTGCTTCTTTCAGAGAATGAAACCCTTTTCCTGTTCTTGTTACTGATTGCAGTAGATAGATTGTGAAGGCTGCTTGGCCTGGTCCACAGTGTGCCTTCTCCGTGTTTTATAGAGAACTTTAAGCATCTAGGAGAGCAAAGGCATCAAACTCAAGTAAAAATGGCGGCCAATAATCTGTACCTAAGGATCTCTGTGGACTGCATATTAACTTCATTTTAAAATATTTTTATCTAGGTTTCACTGTTATTTTTTATTTCTTTTGTTAAATATTTGCCAAATACATCTCAATCTGGTTCCAGCCCATTGGGGAATGCAAGTGTGTGATAACCTCATTCAGTAGGGTCTCCAATAATTGGTGATGAACGTAGCCGTTCTCTAAGGCTGATGATGATGCCTTAGGTGATTTGGAGGGTAGGAATCGCTGGTTTTCCGTTCTTGCTGCCCACCATTCAAACTTGACCATTTGTATAATGATGACAGTAAAGTTTACTCCGCTCAGCCACTGGATTTTGGCAGAGGGGCGTGATATGACAAGTATTGAAGGACTTGACTTATTGGACTTGTGTTTTCTAGCCTGCTGTCAATCTTAAGAGGCATTCTTAAATGCCTTGTCATATAGCTGGGTGGCTCAGTAAACAGGGGGCTGGCCCTGTAGTCAAGGATTTGTCTTCCTGAATTCAAATCCAGTTTTAGACACTTAGTAGCTGTATGACCCTGGGCAAGTCACTTAACCTCTGTCTGCCTCAGTTTTCTCAACTGTAAAATGGAGGTCATAGTAGTACCTCCCAGGGTTGTTGTGAGGATCAAATGAGATAACATTTGCAGTTCCTGATTCATAGTAGGTACCCAATAATGGCTAGCTATTGTTGTTGTTGTTGTTGTTGTTATCTTCCTTAGAATGTGTTCCATTGACTTTAACTCTCTTCTGCTCCCACTGTGTTCTGCAGGCAATCCCAAAGGCGCATTGCTCACCCATCAAAATATAGTGAGCGACTGTTCGGCTTTTGTGAAAGTGACACAGGTAACCTTTGGAAATGCTGGAATGGCCATCTGTGTTAGTTGGCATTAAGCCACAAGAATTTATGTAGTTAAGCCCATAAGTTCTTTGGTGATCTCATTGGAAGTGTGGGCGATTTTTGAATTTTCATTAAGATGTGGGTGGAGCGCACTCATAAGGTCCCCTTCTCTAAAATGGTGATCTCATGACCCTGCATCCCAACTCCTGCCTGCCACTGTGGAGGCAGATTGGCCGGTAAAAGCTCTTAAAAACTTGGTCAGTGAAACTGCATTTGGATGTTGCCATAAAGATTTTGTTAAGAAAAAAAAAAGTACAGAGGCTGGCCTAGATGTGTTATATCTGCTTGACTGATAACATTTCAGCATCCCTTTGAGGATGCTGAATGATGCCTGATGGGTAGGCTTGTTAATACTTTTGGATCATCCCAACTTCCCACGGTCTACCTTCTTGTGAAGAGGTTAAAATTTGTCATCCCGGCTGCTTTTAATTCTTGCCTAATGTATTTGTTGTCTCCTCACTCCCAGTGGGACTTGGGCAATCCCTTATTTGATGATGTAGTGTCAGGACAATCTACATCACCTTTGTCCTGAAAAGAACATTCTCTTTGCCCAGCTTGAGCCTTACACATGTGACTTTTGCAGTCTTCCTACAATACTCAGTTCCCTTAATTTTTATGGCAGATTTTCACACTTAGGTTCAGGAAGTGAAATCCTATTATTGAATAATGAGAGAACATGGATCCATTTGGGGTCTTGCAATTTTGTTGTTCAGACTCTTCCCTCGATCCCCTACCCCAAAGCACTTTTTAAAAATGTGTTCAGCATCTTACTCAAGTGAAATTTTTACTTGTTATTCCTTCTTCTGAGAAAAACTAAGGGAGGTGATATGTTCATGCAAGGCTTTAAAAAATCAGTTATAAAAATGAAATGGAGTTTTCAAGTCTGTAGAAACTTTAAATCAGACCGATCGGGAGTTCTTTCCATTCTAAATCTGTGGGTACAGAGACAGTCCAAGTTGGACTCCTCCAAATGGTGACCTCCATAGCTATTGTCCTTTGGATTTACAGGTGGTTGGGATGCAGGTTGGGTTGGGTTGGGTCGGCGTATAACTACAGTCTGATGGGTAAGAAATTCCTTCTGTTGCTAACAAGTTTGCCCAGGTTGGTACTATGATTACTCCAACTTGTGTAGAATTTGTGACAGATTCTTGATGGGGTGGGAGAGCAAAAATGGAAAGCAGAAGTAGGTATACCACTCTCATGTGAGCTCATCAGCCCACCCACGCATACCTGTACAGGGTTGATGCTGACAGATGTCTTATTTTGGCCAGAATTCTATCCCAAGTATATCAGCACCCTGTGCAAACAACTGCCATGCCGTGCTTGCCTTTAAAGTCCAATATAAACCCTTTGGGGGGGGTTAGACCAAACTTTGGCAGTAGGTGTTGGGGATGTTACTCAAAGGTGTGCAAGGTAGAGACTTTATTTACTGGGGGCAACAGATCACTTTGTGTTGGTCTGAAGTTTATTTGAAACCAATGAAATAAGCAAAATGGAAGATGAAATATTGGTTTAAAATGAAGAATGTTGATAAGACTCCAGCTCCTGAAATCACTTTCAAGCCTCTGAGTGTAAGTATATTGGTGCTGGGTTCTTTTTCCTCTTTGTAATGTTACGGTATTGCTTATATGGGGATGTGACTTCCTACATTCCTGACCTGTAGGTTGAAACTGGTATTGCTAGGAAGGGGCAGCAGCGGTGGGTTTTTATTTCTGAACAATTAGAGCACATAATCCCTTAATATCCTGACTGGGGGAAAGGGGATGGGCAGAGCAGGGGGTGGAGAGGGATGGGATTGTCCTAGCTTTGACTGAACCACCTTTTAGAAAAGAAATGGTAGCTCAAATATCAAATAACTCATTTAATACCATCCTTTGGCTAATACTGATTACTTGTCAGTAATAAATACAAAAGAAGGGAGTATTGCATAGTGGTTAGAGAGCCAGCCTTGCCAGGAAGACATTGGGTTCTGGTCCCCTTTATGTCATATACTGGCTGTATGAGCCCAGCCAAGAGATTGAATATCTCGGTGTCCCTGGGCAACCTTCTGAGACTCTTTAAGTTGCTAATGTATCTACATCAGTAAAGAGGTTTTTCCTCTCCAAGAGTTTCCCACATACTGATGAAATCAAAGCCCCAGATGCCCCAAAATAGTGTGTCCTCTCCCTCAATAAAGTTAAGGTAATATGTGCTCAGAAATACGGGGGTGGGCAATGAATGGAAATCTTAATGGTCTTGTGCTTCTCTGCCTTGCTGGTATCTTTGCTTGCAGGGTGTGGTGACTCCTTCTCCAGATGACATTTTGATATCTTTCTTGCCTCTTGCCCATATGTTTGAGAGAGTTGTGGAGGTAGGCACTGAATTTATTTCAATTGCTTTTTTTTTTTTTTTGCATGTTTGCTCAGTTATTGTCTTTTCACAGAAAACACTTCATTTGAACTCCAGTGACTCACACATTTCATTTTTACCACTTGCTCACATGTTTGAGAAGTTAATTCTGGTAAGGAGATTGGGATCCAGTGTGGTATGGTATTGTAAACTAATCTCTTGCCTTGTATCATGCACAGCACCCAGATTATGGAGAAACAGTGTGGGTGTCACCCTTGTTTTTTCCCTATTACCTGGTGCAAAGTTCAACACATCTACATTACCAGTTCACTGCCTCTCAATTTTTTGTTGTTTAAAAAGGAAATTTGATCTTTTGATCCGATTCTACCCCGTCTTTTGACCCAGAAACTAAAGTCAATGTGAAGTCAGTATAATTTTGTCCTTTTTTGGTTTCTAATAAGCTGAATTATTCAAGACTTGCCCTCGTGTAGCATTTGAGGCAACTAGATGGTAAGTGGAAAAAGTGAGTGTTGGACTTGAAGTCAGGAAGACTTGAGTTCAGACCCTGCTTCAGGTACTTGCTAGCTGTGTGAACCTGAACAAGTCACTCATCTGTAAAATGGAGATAATAATAAAACCCATTCCCCAGGGTTGTTGTGGGGATCAAATTAGATAATATGTGTAAAGTGCTTTACAGTACTTAAAAGTGTTAGATAAATGTTAGTTATTATGGGTCAAAATGTACAAATGGGCTTATTTTTATAACACATTCTGGTTTGATTTGAGAAAGGAGAAAGTCTGTAAATAGATTTGGCAAGATTGCCTTGACATAATTGCATGACTCCACCCAGCCAAGAATGATTTCTCGGTTTCATTTTCAGGGTTACAAATCTGAGAGTAAGGAATTACATTAGATGCAGAGAGAAGTTAAGAGAACAGAGGAGCTCACTGCAGGTTTCAGTAACTACCCTGTCACTCTGAAATAGTGTTTTCTGTAAAGTGGAGTCCCTTCATGCTAAGGATCAGACTGGTCATTGGTAGCTGTCTTTAACCTGATCACTAGCAAGTGGTAAAATGGGCTGTGTTCCTAAAAAAAAAAAATCTTTGGTGACCATGTTTCAAACATGATGTACAATGGTTCTTAAAGGGCCATGCATGTGGAACTATAGAAGACACCTGGAAACTATTTTGTTGCTGTTCAGTTGTTTTTAGTCATCTTCGTGACCCCATTTGGGGCTTTCTTGGCAAAGATACTGGAGTGGTTTGTCATTTCCTCCTCTAGCTCATTTTACAGATGAGGAAACTGAGGCAAACAGGATTAAGTGACTTGCCCAGAGTCACACAGCTAGTCAGTGTCTGAGGGCAGATTTGAACTTGAGAGAATGAATCTTCCTGCTTTCAGGCCTGGCACTTTATCTACTGTGTCTCCTCACTTCCTGAAACAAACTATGTTGAATGAAAACCTGCTGAAAGTTCTCTTTTGAATACAAATTGAATTGTTCCTGAAGAGAGAAGTTAATTTAATTTGGGTGTACAGACTTAGTGAATGTAAGGGATAGATATGCAGTGGAATGTGTCTCCACCTGGCAAAACACCACAACCTGCCTGAGACTCACTGAGGTTGAAAGTCTAACAGCCTTTTGGAGATTTAAAAAAAAAAATAAGCTTATTATAGTAAAATAAATTCTAATAAACTTGAACTTTAGGTAATAGTTGAAAACATTAGGGTGAAGCAGTAGCATAGGGAGCTAAAATTTCCATTTGCTCCTCTCCACCCTCACAGTCTGTCATTTGAAGTACTGATTGTAATGAGGTTACACTTTTCTCCCCAGACTCTAGTCTGTGCAAAACATGAAAGCCAGCTGGAACTCTGCCGTAGGGTAATGATGGCAAACATCATGCAGCACCTCTCTCTTTACCTTTGTTTGAATGGAAATCAGTGTAAAAATGGTCACACTGATTATTCTTAATAATTTTCGCAATTGTTTTTCAATATATATCTACATATATAGTTTTCCCTTTCAAAGAAATCACATTTTTAGGAGTGTGGATTACATATAGAACAATATGGAAGATTTTTTTAAAAATATGTTTTGTTGAAGTTTTTTTTGTCTTTACATCTGAGTCATATCTTCCCCCTTTCTCCCTCCCCCCTCCCATTTGAACTCATGGCAAAAACAATTCAGCAGGGACAGCTAGGTGACTCAGTGGATAGAGCAGTGGCCCTGAAGTCAGGAGGACTTGAATGCAAATCTGTTCTCAGACACATAACACTTATAGCTGTGTGACTCTGGACAAGTCACTTAACCCCAGTTGCTTCACCAAAAAAAAAAACCAAAAAATTCAGCAGAAATATCTGCTCCATGGACCATACCTGAAACAGTATACACTATTCTGTACTAGTAGACCCCTACCCCTTTACCATGAAGGATGGTATCATTTCCTTACAACCTCCCAGGCAAGATACAGCATCTTCAACTAAAACCAAAAAACAGACAAGCATCTCTTCCTCTAATAAATAAAACGAAATGTGTCCCAGTTCCAGTTCTTCTCTACCTTAAGGATTGTATTAATCCTAAGATATATCATCTAATATTAGAATGGCCCCAAAATTTTAACCAAAAATTCTTATCCAGGCCTGCCCTCATTTCATAATATTTCAAACATGCACAGATTCATGGGTGTGAGGATTCTCTTCATCATTGAAGACCATAATTACTTGTTGTCTGTAGTAGACCATTTTCATGAACTACAGCTAAGAACATTCATCACCTAGTGGCTGCCCTCCTGATAATGAGCCTTTCTGGGCTTAGCTAGGCCCAATCTTAGACTCTAGAACATAGCCCATTGCCCAGCTGGCCCCTAAAGCCATAACAGCGTCTAAGTCTTTGCCAGGTCCTGCAGAGTCCTTCAGAACCACCTACCACCATTTACACCACTCTGAGGTATCAAAGGACTTCAATGGATGTTATTATTTACAATATTAAACTAATGTTCTGACCCATATTATTTGGCAGTAATGTCATGATCAGGGGCCTCAGAGACCGTCTTGTTTAAACCCCTCGTTTTATAGATGAGGAAACTGAGACCCAGAGAGATTATCGGGGTACTCAGGCTCTAGGGCAAGCGTTCCTTTCATTGTACAGATAGCTCATTTAAAAAAAAAAAAAACCGACCGTACAATATATCAAACTCCACTATAATTATGCCCTCCAGCCAGTTGTCCATATATAAAAAATTCTGTAGTAACTGATTCCTGTAACATTATTTCACCTATTTTTATGTTTTTGTGGCATACCAGTGAACAATCCTAGATGGGATGTGACTGGGTTAGAGAATTTAAAGGTATTTGGAACTTGGTGGCCAGACCCAAACTGAGATGATCTCACCAGAAAGTCAGCCAGTTCCTGAATTCATGCCTTCCTATTCCCTCTCTCCAGTGTGTAATTCTCTGTCATGGGGCTAAAATTGGATTTTTCCAAGGAGATATCCGGTTACTTATGGATGACCTTAAGACGCTGCAGCCTACCATCTTCCCTGTGGTTCCAAGACTGCTGAACCGGATGTTTGACAGAGTAAGTTCACGCCTATTCAGGGGAATTGGAATGGGGAGAAACTCTAGCTCCAGGGAGGAAGGAGTCTTTTGCATGGAATATAATTGAAGTGCCCTGAAAGATGAGCATGGAAAAGCAAGAAGCATTTATTAAGTGCTTACTTTGTGTTAATCACTGGGAATACATATGCCAGTAAAAAGAAAGATATTCCTTGCCCTCAAGGAGCTTACATCCTAATGAGAAAGACAGCGCACAAAAGGGAGCCAAAAAAAAAGGGAAGGGGATTTAATCAGGGGTGTTCTGTTGAAGGCTGAAAAGTCAGGAGGTGAAAGAAGGTTGGCCAGACTGGGCTGCTCCCCAAAATGAAGGCCCCAATGGAGGAGGAGCTCCCAGTGGGAGAAGGTGGCTAACATGGTGGAGGAGGCATTCCAGGGGGAGGGAGGAGTCCTCAGGAGCCCAGGGATGTTCCAGAATGTGACAGCGGCTGAGGAGACATGGTGGCAAAGCCTGGAAATAAGAAGCAGAGCCAGGAGGGAGGAATGAATATGGGAATATGACATGAACCGTACCCGTAATAGCTTTAATAGCAGGGGAGAAGTTATTGACTGTATGTTCATTGTAAAAGTCAACTTCAAATTAAAATGCTATACAAACCCTTTTTTATATGAGGGTGAAGCTTCAAGCCATTCTGTGGAGCAATCTGGTAATCATTACTGGACTTGTTAGATTTTTGGACAGGCCAACACAATGATGAAACGGTGGATCCTGGACTTTGCTTTTAAGAGAAAAGAGGCAGAACTCCGAAGTGGCATAATTAGAAACAACAGCCTATGGGACAAAATTATTTTCCACAAAATTCAGGTAATAACTGGACATGGAACAATTTCTCTTACCGCTTAAACTAGCCAGGGTCCAAATTTCTAAAGGGGCTTTTGAGGAGGAGGATAAAGAGGATAGAAGGTGTGTGTATGTGTGTGGTTTTATTCCTTGGATACATAAATTTTGAAATACCATCATTGGCATGAAGCTAGAAGGGACCTCAGAGACCATCTTGTCTGGAACGTCTTAAACTTTTTTTACTCAGGACCCCTTTTCACATTTTGGCAGACTTTATTGGCATTGCAGGGCCTGAGGACATGCACAATGCAAAGTGCCCATGCTGTGTGTTTAGAACCAAGGCTGTAGTGAAGTTGCACTTTGCAACACAGGCAAGTGCTTGCTAGGAACACCTTGGATTCATTGCATGTTTGATTTTTAATTAATTGTTGGTTATTGCCTATTCAGAAACCTTATACTGTTGCCAAATTTTTCACAACCCCCTATGGGGTCACAACCCACAGTTTAAGAAACACTGAATTAGTCCAACTTCCTCATTTTACTGAGGGAAGGGAAAAGGAGTCACTTGGCCAGGATCATATATGTAGAAAGCATCAGAGGTGGACCTTAAACCCAAGTACTTTGATTCTACTGCTCTTTCTATGGTAGCAATAGCAGCAGCAGCAGCAGCACTAGTAGTAGTAGTAGTAGTAATACTAATAATAGTAATAGTAGTGTTTTCTTGACAAAGATACTGGAGTGTTTCACCATTTTCTTCTCCAGTTCATTTTATAGATGGAGAAACTGAGGCAAACAGGGTTAAATGACTTGCCTAGGGTCACACAGCTAATAAGGGTCTGAGGCCAGACTGGAATTCAGGAAAATGAGTTTTTCTGGCTCCAGGCCCTGGCGTTCTATCCACTGCACCACCTAATTGCCTCACAGGTTTTATAGGGCGTCCCCAAAATCTTAAAGCTTCACTAAGACTTTTGAGGCATCCTATATTATACTCATTTTATAGATGAGGTTAAAATTCAACCCAACAATTAATTATTTAGTGTCTGCCATGTGCCTGACACCATGCTATGCACAGGGGATACAAATACAAAATGAAAAACAACCCTTGCCTTTGAGGTTCTATTTCCAACATGTAGGTAGTTTAAAATAATCTAGATAGGAATTGGTGCTACAGGACTGAAGCTTGGGAGAGAGGTTAGGGCTGGATATGTGGAACTGGGGATCATTGCCATAGCAATGATCATTGAGCCCATAGGAACTAATGAGATGACCAGAAGTACAGAAAGAGGAAGAAAGAGGCCCCATGGCAGAGGGACCAGCCTGCCTGGGAGGTGGGTGAGGGATGGCACTGCAGCAAAGAAGACTGAGGAGGAGTGGTCAGTCAGACAGGAGGGAGGAGAACCAGGAGATGGCAGTGTTTCAGAAACCCAGGGGAGAAAGTGTGTCCCCTGGTCACACACACAGAGCTTGCTAGTTGGGAGAGGTGGCAGTATTTGAATCCTGACTCTGGACCCAGCCTTCTAGATTGTCTGACTTCTGTCGAGTCACATTAGCCTAAGCACAAGTTAACGTGACTTTCGGAGAACAGAATTGGAGCTGTGGACGGGGCGCTGGTTCAGAAGAGGTTGCACTGTGTTAGAAAAATTCCTAACGGTGCTCAGAGATAAATTGTTGGTAGCATGAATTCTCAGGTGGTCACTCAGCATCCTTTTTCTTTTTTCCCTCTCTTCCCCTTTAAGGCAAGCCTTGGAGGGAAAGTAAAGTTAGTGATCACTGGAGCGGCTCCTATATCAGCAACTGTTCTTACTTTTCTGAGAGCAGCACTTGGATGTCAGGTAACTTGTTGAAGTTGTTTGGGGATTTCTCCAGATGGGTGGTGATCTTGGGGAAGCGTGTGTGTTTTATTCCTTGAGTAGTGGGCAGCATTTTATTTGATGGTTTTGTGGCTGGAAGAAGAAAAGACAAAAATTCCAGCAAACGTAGGGAAGGGTTATGCATGTTGTCATTCCTCAGGGTCCAGTCTTTGTGTCTTTTGCATGATGATGTGAAAGTGCATGTGCTGTTCTCCACCTTGGTTAGTGACATGCACTCTTTAGGCACAGTTGGGCGTAGCGTAGTCTTGAACCGTGGAACATAAAACCCCTGTGTGCCCTTTCCAGCCGAAGCCTGTCTCTGTGCCCTCCTGTCCTTGGTACACCATTTATGAATGGGACATTCACATCTGCCATACTGACCATTGAAAGTCTTTGCTGTTTGTTCAGTAGCTGGGATTGTTGTACTTTGAAGTAAGGGAATTGTCTTTGTCTTTCATAATAATAACGAGAGCTAGCACATATAATACTTTAAGGTTTACAAAATACTTTTTTATGTGTTATCTTATTTGATCATCACAACAAGCCTGTGAAGTAACTGATATTAACCCCATTTTACAGATGAGAAAATCGAGGCATTAAAGAGGTACAGTGACTTGCCCAGTGTCTCACAGCTAGTAAAAATGGCTGGCGTAGGATTTAAACTCAGAATTTCCTGATTCCGACTGTAGCACTCCCTGTGCTCTACCACCTGATTGCCCAACTGGTGCTCTAAAGGCCTGGCCCACCTTTTCATGGAGCCTGCCCGGCTGAGTCTGGAGAGTCTCCACAGGTGACCCAGAATTTCCTAGTGCTCACTTCAGAGATCCATGGGAAAATCGTGAGGTGCCAGCATTTCTCATAGATAAACACAACTCTCTTTTCTTTACCAAGAAACCCTAAGTTTTCGTGTAACCTGGACTCCCTGGAAACCATTTCTTTCTTTGATGTCTAAATCTTCTCATTTCTTCGCTGAGGGACCCTTTTTTGGGACTCTCTGTCACAGCATGTACGAGTCTTCCACTTAGCTGGATGTGAACTCTGAAGCTAATGGAAACATTGTTTAAGAACGTTTAAGAACTAGGTAGGATTAGTGTTGGTTGCATCAAAATTGAGATTTGAACCCAGGTCCTTTGACTCCAGAGGCAGTGATCTTTACTCTTAATTACAATGATTAGCTATATGTATGTATGTATGTATGTATATACATATGGGTTTGTCTATATGTGTCTATATATCAATAGACAGATGGATGGATGAATGCTATATTTTGTCATGGAGTATCTTGTGGGGTAACCCAAACAGAATTATTCATACATGAGGAATGGCCCTATTTTGTACAGACTGTTAAGCTATGGAATTGATCTTGCCACAGTGAGCAAAATCACCTAGTATAAATAGTTCAAGGTTGTGGGCATTAATTAGACTTCCTAGAAGAGGCTTTCCTTCTCAAAGGAATACGTTGCAAATATTTATGCTTTTAAAAAAACGAAAGAAAGAAAGGAAAAATGTTTTATTCACCTTTTTGTTGAGATTGCTGTTAAGTTTAGAATGAAAGTGAAACAAAAGTAAATAAAATTAGGTTAAACAAAATTTAAATAGTTTGGGGTTTATAGTTCATAGAAAAAGGGAAATATAAATTTTACAAAACAATAATTTCTTAATGCTGTGTTCCTTCTAGTCTCTCTTTCATATATAAACTTGTAACATGTTGTTTTTAATGTCATATCCCACATATAGAAATATATGAAGACATTAGGCCATAGTTGTATAGCTAGAAGAAGGAATTTTAGACGCCATCTAGTTCAGTATCTTCATTTTACAGATGAGTAAACTGAGGCCCTTAGAGTCTTCCCTTCCCAGATCGTCCTCATCATCGTCGTCTTCTTCTTCCTCCTCTTCTTCCTCTTCCTCTTCACCATTCTTTGCCTCATTTCTTATTAGGTCTTAATCACTGAATAGGCATGAAGACCTTAGCTTGAAAAGACCAAGGTCTCCCACTGCATCCAGGGCCATCTGCAGTCATCCTGATCTATATCTCGCCACGTGGCTCTGGAGAAGAAAGTGAGGCTGGTGACTTTGATAGCCCTACCTCACTTAAATTCAGTTCACTTGCATGTCATGGCGTCACCTCCCTGATGTCATGGTCCTCCTGTAGAACGAAGGACAAAGAGCAGCAGCAAACTGAGGCCCAGGAATGTTAAAGTGCTCCAAGGTCCTCCCTTTGCCATGTGTACCTTACTCATTTTATTCAGCTCTTCCCCAGTTGTTGCACAGAAGTCTCCAGTGTGTTGTTAATACAGATTAAGGCATAACAAATGTTTTTATACAGCTCGGTCCTTTTTCCTCTTAGCATCCTCAGAATGTAGTCCCGGTAGTGAGACAGTTGATCAAAGAATATTTTCATTTTTGTTACTCTTCTTTGATAATTGCCATATTGTTCTCAAAAAAAAAAAAAAAAGATTAGCACCTACTCAGTTCTACAAATGGCGTTAGATGTTAGTTTTGCACTTGTTTTCTCATTGGTCATTTTTTTAAAAGATTTGAAGATATGCAAAATATCAGCTTTATTTCAATAATTATGAACCATAAATGACTTAAAAATTTACACAATGAAATATCAAATTATTTAAATGTTATTTCCTTGTGACTGCTACTTCATTTAACATGTTGACACTATCTCACTGTTTATTCTGATGGGCATATAGAACAAACCTGAGCAGCAGATCAACTTGTCAAAAGTTATTACTATAATGTGTTTTAGAGCTCGAGTTGTTGTTTAAATAGACAAAAGTATAATTCAGTATAGCTGATTAGCTAGGGAAAACATGGAGCGTGCACATGGCATGCATTCTTTTTTAGAAATTCTCATGTCTTTAATCTGATTTTAGAAAAATTAACACAAGATCAAAATTCTCAATTTAAAGCAAGGATTATTAACCTAGGGTCTATTAATAAAAGAGAAAAAAAGTATTTTGATGACTACTTCAATATAACTGGTTTCCACAAAATCTTATTCATTTTATGCATTTAAAAACATCATTCTAAGATGAGATCTAAAAACTTCATCACAATAACAAAGGAATCTATGATGCAAAAATGGCTAAAAATTCCCTACTTAATAGCATTGTGTCTTTGTTATTTTTTCAAGTGTTTGTTTTGTATAGTATTTCAGAGTCAGTATTACCAATACTTTATAGCTAACATTTCTAAACTTTTTTTTGCTCCTGACTTAACTCTGGTAATGATTAAGCAAGACTGGCAGCCTTTGGAAACTCAGCAGGATCCGGAAATTATTCTGTGATGGTGTGATGCAGGGCTTCCTAACCTTTTCTGTGTCTTGGACCCCTCTGGCAGCTGAGCTGTGCCTATGGACCCCTTTGCAGAATAATGTTTTTAAAGGCCTAAAATAAAGTCCATAGGATATACACTTATCAAAATGTACATTTTTTAAAGTTCATGAACTCCAGTTGAAGAACTAAATGAGTTGTTAGCAGGTTTGACTAGATGGGTAGATCAGAGGAGTGTCATAAGCATATCTACCTATAATGGGGTAGGCAGAAGCCAGGCCTTAATTAAAGGCACACTGAAGAATGCCTTTTGACATCCTCGTTATGCTGAATTAATCAGTCTCTGCCATAGCCATCAGAGCTGGCCTTGAGGAAGCATCAGGGTGACATAGTCTAAAGCAGTCATTCTCTTACTGCAAATCACAAAATTCTTTGTCATATGGCTGGTTTTCTGTCGTGTGAAGGGCAGCCATGATAACTACCTTCCTACAAATAGGAAGAATAAAAACACATGTCTCATCGGCTAATTGATTGAGCAGATTGAGCCTTGCCCCTTTTTTATATAATCTCATCAAGCACTTTTTTTTTTTAAAGTCCATGAATCCGAGAATCTGGGAAATACTATACACACACATATCCTTTCCTCACACTGGTCAGGTGGAAATTAAACTCAGATAAAGGGCTATCTGGACTAACCTAAGGCATGTCCACAGATACTCAGGGCTTGGTTGAACATGGCCACTTTCAGTAATGACATAAAACTTTTGCCGCCAACAAATAACTTTGAATGTTTTTGATATTGTAGTTCTATGAAGGCTATGGACAAACAGAATGCACAGCTGGATGTTCTTTGACGGTGCCAGGAGACTGGACAGCTGGTATGGTTGTACTTCTCATGACCTCTCTAATGTTAATTTAGTTGATTAGAGATTTAACTGGAGCCCCCCTGACTTCTGTGCATATTGAGTCTTTGACCAAATAGTTTGTAGCCAGCTGAACTATAAAGTAGCTGCCGTGGCATCTGAAGTGAGCTGTGCCAGTCTGGCCTCGCGGGTCTTATCCTCTCCCTACACTTGTGCCTTGAAGAAAGGGACGGCTCATCTCCTATCTTTGTCTTTCCCTCACTGTGGAGCTCACTGTTACGTCCATGTAGGAAATTAATGGAGCTTTGAGGGGTGGCAGGTAGGGAACTTCCCAGGGTGAAAATCTAGTCTGCCAGATCACACCTCGTCTTGGATTTAGTAGAGCAAAGTCCTACTGAGTCACTTAAGGTTAAATAATCTGCTCTGGGTGGTGCAGTTAATCAAGTGTCGGACATAAGACTTGAAACTTTGGAGTCTTCCTGACTCTGCTACAGCAGACCATTTCTCATATATGCAGATATACATACATGTATATACATATAGCATATGTATATATGAGGTTACATACAAATACATTCCTCAGTTATCATCATAGGGTATATGTGTGTACGTGTAATGTTTATGCATACACATGTATATATATGTGCGTAGGGAACATGGAATAAATGTGTTGAATACAAATGTTGTTGAATACAAAATATTCATGGTCCTATTGACCCTCAAAGATTAGTCTTTTGGTCAAGTTATTGGCCTTCAGCAAAGCATTCTAAATGTCTAGCCAACACAGGTTTGTAAAGGGCCTTCCAGCTCCTCCAGTTCTAGACCTGAAACCATTTTTTGTGTAGGGGGCGAGGTTGTAAATATAGACATTTTGAGCTGGAAGAGCAGCTTTTAGCTTAGAGAGGATGTGTATTCTAACCTCCACATTTTACAAATGAGGAACTGAGGCCAGAGGTTAAGTGACTTGTCCAAGGTCACATAGCCAGTATCTGGTCTTCCTGACTTTGAGGTCAGCATAGTCTTCATTATACAACAGAACACATACATACATACATACATACATACACACATACACACATACAAAATATTTATGCAGATGTATGTTTAGGTATATATATAAATTTTATTCATATATATACACACTGTGTGTGCATAGTGTGTGTGTGCACAGCGTGTGTGTGTGTGTGTGTGTGTGTGTGTGAGATCTCCTAGATTATAGGCTTTTTAAGAGCAGGGACTATGTCTTTTAAATTTTTCTCTCTTTCTCCGTGCTTAGCATAATGAATTATACTTTTTCTTTTTTCAGCCCATACTTTTGACCTAATTGTATAAAGGAACTCCCTGATATAGAAACTCCTTCTACATATGCTGATCTAATTTATAATTTATAGCTTTAGAGAGTTACCCAGAAAAGCAAATGTTCAGTGACTTGTCTATGGTCATACACAGCATATGGCAGCATTTGAAAAACAGGGTTTCTAATCCTGGGGCCCATGAACTTTATAAATGAATGAATGAACACTATTTTATAAATAAATAAATATAAATATAAAACTATTTCAGTTTTAATTAATCTCCTTTGTAATTTTGTGTATTTTTATTTATACACGTAAAAACATTACTCTGAGAAGGGGTCCAGAGGAGTCTGTGACCCAAAAAAAGATCAAGAACTGCTGATCTAATACCACACCCCCTCCTAGCTTTACTGATTACTACAGTGGACTCTTTTTTTTGTTTGTTTGTTTTTTGTTTTTTGTTTTAGGCAACTGGGGTTAAGTGACTTGCCCAGGGTCACACAGCTAGTACGTTACAGTGGACTCTTAATAAATGTGTTGGGTGGCTAGGTGGTGAAGTAGATAGAGTGCCAGGCCTGGAGTTAGGAAGATTCATTTTCCTGAGTTCAAATCTGGCCTCAGACACTTACTAGCTGTGTGACCCTGGGCAAGTCACTTAACCCCTTTTCCTTAGGTTCCTCATCTGTATAATGAACTGGAGAAGGAAATGGTGAACCACTCTAGTATCTTTGCCAAGAAAACCCCAAATGGGGTCACAGAGTCAACCACAACTGAAATAATCAAACAACAATAATAAATGTGTTGAATGAATGTTGTTGAATACAAGTTCTTGAGCCAGGTGCCAAGGGGATGGTGGCCAGTCTCAGATGAGTGACCATTTTATTTCATTTGATACACAGGCCACGTTGGTGCTCCAATGCCTTGCAATCTTATAAAGCTTGTTGATGTAGAAGAAATGAATTATTTGGCTGCCAAGGGAGAAGGTGAGGTGAGTAAATTTGTACTGATGGCTCATCCCTTGTCTCCTTTCACCATTCCTGACTTTCAAGAGAAGACAGCTGCATGTTTGAACTTTTAGGTTTAATCCAATTGATGATTCTAGATACTTAATATCTAGATACTTAATACACTTAATATTGTTTAAGATGCCTTTGCTTTTAAATTAGTAGGAGGGAGACACTATGGGCATGGAGGAGAAAAGCTTTGCAGTAATGGCTCTATTCTTCCCCCTGAGGCAGCAGGAAAAGAGCTGGACCCTGGGGCTCGTAGAGACTGGAGGCCTCCAGGGCAGTTGTCCTTGGAGTTAGGTCCTAATTGCCCTAGGTACCAGTTAATGAATTTCTTGCAGATTAAGTAATGAGATCCTAATGACCGAAAAGTACTTTCTTGGGAATTTGGGGCCAGGAGTGAGACAGGGACTAACTACCCTCAGCCCTAAGCATTGTGACCAGAGCCCACCCAACAGCCTGTCTATTACTGCTTGCAGCCAGGGCTTGAAGCAGGGAAGATGGGACCCCAAGATCCAAGGTTGGTCTGATCTCCTTGTAAGGTATTTCTCTGTCTTTGGAGCAACAGAGTAAAAACTTCCAACTACTGTGAGAAAAACACTTTTTTTTCCTTTTCAGAAAAGTCTTATTAAATCTCGTGAGTTAAACTTCACTCTGCTTTAGCAATTCAGATTATGGCATTAATGGTATGAAAATCCCCCTTTTCTCAGATATGTGTGAAAGGGCCAAATGTATTTAAGGGCTATTTGAAGGACCCAGCAAAAACAGCAGAAGCTCTGGATAAAGATGGCTGGCTGCACACCGGAGATATTGGGAAATGGTTACCAGTAAGTAAATCTCTCCTCTTTTCTCTAATACTTGACTCTAAAATGAGGTGGGGTGGGGCAGAATCTGCTGGGTAATCATCATTCGTCTCGAGTTTCTCACCCATTTCTGTCCCCATTGAATCCTCCCTTCTAACAAATAAAAACAGGAAAACGAAAATAGCCAATATATCTGAGAATGTATGCTACATTCTGCCCCTTTAATCTCCCCTTCTCACGTGTTTCATTTTCTGTTCTCCAGGACCAAGATTAATTATCACAATTACCTGGCTTCCTTTTAGGGCTCTTTTTACTTACATTTTATAATCATTTTCTGGTCCCCATTTTTCTTAGCACCAGTTCACATAAATCTCCTCGTGTTTCTCAGAATTCTTCAGAGTCATCATTTCTTACAGTACAGTAATATTCCATTACATTCATATACCATGGTATGTTCAGTCATTTCCTAAATTGATAGGCATTCAGTTTGTTCCCAGGTATTTGCTACCACAGAAAGGCTGATATAAATATTTTGGCATATACTGCACCTTTCATTCTATTTTGAACTCCTTGGGGTATATGGCCAGTAATAATAAAAAACAGTAATGATGGTGATGATGACTGACATTTATATGTGCCAGGCACACTTACTTTATACTTAGAGAAAAATAATGACTTTCTGTAAAAGTTATAAACAGGAATTTGCAGAGTACTCTGATCCAGATATAAGATGGATTAAATTGTGGGTTCTGCTTCTGGCTCAGTCCCCAGTTGCAGCTATGTAACCATGGACAAGTCAGCGTCTCTAGATCTCATTTTTCTCATCTGTACAGTGAGATGGGAGGTTGGGGGTCGGGAGAGAGAAACAAGCACCTAGACTGAGGTGTCAAAACACTTGGCCCTTAGGCCACATAGCACTTCTGAACATGGCCTGAACTGGATTAAAATGTAATTGGGAAATATTTAACAAAATAAATAAAAACACAATAAAATATAGGTAATGTTAATTGATGGCTTCCTAAGTCAGTGAGTGGTCCCCAGGGATCCTTACGTATTTAATAGTAGAGAGCAGGCTGATCCTGGAATCAGGAAGACTTGAGTTCCAATGCCACTTGACTGTCACAAGCGATGCACAGATGAGTCAGTCAACCTCTCTGGTCTCAGTTTCCTCATCTGTCAAATGAAGGGATTGTTCTAGACCGCTTCTAAGGTCTTTTCTAGTTCTAGGACTGTGATATTCTCAGTTTCTTCTAGTTCTAAGATTATGTAACTCTCTTCTCTCTGATTCTCTAAATAGTGCGTTTGGGAATTTAAGAGCAAATAGCTTTGGGAGATGTAAAAAGAAGAGGCCTCATCTTTGGCCCTCATCTTGTGGTTGAGGTCAGGCATCCCTCTTGATATCTGATCCTGAAACCTCATGTGCACATGTTAAATTGGATATGGAAATCACAATTCCTCTTTCCCTCAGGCCCTGGAATCAGATGGGCCAATATTGACTCAGTAGATGTACTCGAGTCATTTGTCACTTGAGGGGAGAATACTTATTTCTCTTCCACCAGGAATACAGAGGAGAGGATAGTAATGCTGCTATTTTAATTAAGTCTGAATTGTGACAAGGAGCTGCTGGTTTCCATGTCAGAGCTGTTTCTTTTGTGGGTACAAATCCTTTTTTCTTCTTTCCTATCCAGAATGGTACCTTGAAGATCATTGACAGGAAAAAACATATATTCAAACTGGCACAAGGGGAATACATAGCGCCTGAAAAAATTGAAAATATCTACCAGCGAAGCGAGCCTGTAGCTCAGGTGTTTGTACATGGGGAAAGCTTACAGGTATGTTCTCTGAGTCGCCATGTTTGTGTTTTAATGGTTACAGCTATGAAGCAGTGGGAGCAAATAGCCATTAAGGCCAAGAATCTGAAATGCACAGCACCAGCCTTGGGCAGCCTGCCTCCCAAGTGATTAATGGGCAGGTGTGACAAGGCTCCTGGAAAGCTGATTCTCTATCGGTCAGCTTTACACTAAAGCCTTCATTAAGCAGAGGGATTGAAGGGGGATGGGATGGTTTACCAGGTCAGAGATTTTTGTGAGAACCAGGAAGGGTTTGAACATGGCCCACTGGGGCTTTGAGCCTTCGTTCACAGTCAGTACACATGATAAAATCGGTGCTTCCTCAGCAAAGATCTTGTCATGCAGAAATAGAAATGGGAATGTCCTTTAGATTCCAGTAAATTGAGGTTTTAGTAGCCTTCTATTAGCTATCACTATTAGGGTTCAGGATTTCCCCCATACCATCGTGGATGCTCAGGGACTCCCAGACAAGGTATGATTGTAATTGACCTGTGTTATGTGTGTGTTAAAGGCATTCCTCATAGCTATAGTGGTACCAGATGTGGAGATACTGGCTCCCTGGGCCAAAAAGAAGGGCTTCAGTGGATCTCATGCAGACTTGTGCAAAAATAAGGTAAGCATATAATAATGATAATAGCTAACAGGTAGCATTCATTATATGCCAGCCACTGTGCTAAGCACATTACAAATATTATCTCATTTGACTCTTCCAACAACCCTGTGATGTAGGTACTGTTAATATCCCCATTTCATAGTTGAGGAGACTGAGGCAAGCAGAAGTTAAGGGTCACACAGCTAGTAAGTGTCTGAGGCTGAATTTCAACTCAAGATTTCCTGAATCCAGGGCCGGCGCTCTATCCTCTCCACCACCTAACTGCCAGTGGTCCAACAGAGCTAGGTTCATGCCCCAGCCTACCTCCTCTATTTTGTTTTAGATAGTCTTGCTTTAAAAATGCAATTTTTATACTTTGCCTGCTCCTTTGCAGGGGTGGGGCACCTTGCATGTGGAACATTACACATCAAAAAAAAATATGATGTTGTATGTAATCAGTTTTACTGAATTATTTCTTTCTTCCTCTTTTTTTTTTAAAAAATTCATTTATATAGGGATTTTTCACATATATATAAAATATATTACATATATATTTGTTATAAGGGATTGCTTTCTAGGAGGGGGAAGAGGGAAAGAAGGAAGGAAACAATCATTTATTAAACACCTACTATGTGCCAGGCACCGTGCAGTTTAAAAATATTTTCTCATTTGATCCTCACAACAACCCTTCCAGGTAGGTGCATTTTACAGTTGAAGAAATTGAGGTTAGGTGACTTGCCCAGGGTCACACAGTTAGTAAGAGTCTGAGGCTGGATATGAACTCAGGTCTTCCTGACTCTAGACCCAGCGCTCTACCCACTATGCCAGCTAACTGGCCAGGGAAACGGGGAATCTAGGGCAATGTAAAGACGAGTGATAGCAATACAAGTATTTTTGATACAGTCTTTATTTTGTTGCCTTAATAGGATGTTAAAAAAGCAATCCTTGAAGACATGGTGAGGCTCGGGAAAGAGGCAGGTCTGAAGCCTTTTGAGCAGGTGAGGCTCAAGTAAAGGTTTGTGACTCTGCCTTTGGAGGTTTTGCTCCAGATGTCATTACATAAGATTGGATTTCTTAATGAGTATTTATCGAATTAAATTAATAACACTGGCTGGGAATTAATTACCCAGTAACATTGTAGAATCTTTTGGAACCTCCAAAAAGATTAGTTACTGCCCTCCATCTAAGACAGAAATTCTTAACCTTTTTTGTGTCCTGGACCACTGTGGTGTCTGGTGAAGCCTGTGGACCCCTTCTTAGAGTCACGTTTTCAAATCACAGAATAAAATACACAGGATTATGAAAGGAAACCAGTTGTCCAGGGTGTCCCCAAAGTCTTGATGTGATTTAAAGCTCCTTAATAAAGAGTCCACAATTTGATAGCTTTAAACTCTACTAAGACCCTGTGTGGAACTATAGTTACCAGAATATTAAAAATGCAAGTTCATGGATCTCAGGTGAGGAATCCCTGGTCTAAGACAACCAGGCATAGCACCCCGCTGGAGGAAGAAGAATGAACTACCCATGTACCTGGTAGCACAGTGGCTAATGAAGCCACTTCATTCAGGAAGTTAAGTGAATAATTGTAGTTGTTGTTTGCTCTGCATTGGACAAGTGGCTTTTGCTGCTCCCTCATTGCTTTTGTTATTTTTTATTTCCAGGTCAAAGGCATTGCTCTCCACTTGGAATTATTTAGTGTGGAGAATGGCCTTCTGACCCCGACACTGAAGACAAGGAGATCAGACCTCCGGAAATATTTCAGATCACAGATAGATGAACTCTATTCTACCATTAAGATTTAATCTTGAGGAAGATAGCTTGGACAAAACAAAACCGCACACCTCCAAAAGATCTACTTCTACTGTTGGTCTTCGTATTGGTAATTTTGACTACAGCAAACATAGGGAAGGAGGCTTGTTTGGACGGGGTTCTTGGCATAGGAATTTTGAAGGAAACAGAACACTGCCTTACTGTCGCCTTGTGTTGCTGACCATTTTGTGGTGATACACAGTTTCCAAAATGAGCCTTAAATTGTACAGGGCAACTGTAAACCTGATAAGTTATTTGGGACTTTCTCAGCCCAGAAGGTGGGTGTTGACTCTTCTCTCCTGATCCTAACCAAGGAACTAGGGCTTCCCTGTTTCTGAAAGGTCAGATGTTTGATACAATCTCTGCAGTTGTCTGCTCCAAAGGGTACATGGTACACTAGAGGAAAAGAATCCTTTTAAAAATGACAAACACACACACAGCAGTGGGGTATACCATAATTCATCCAAATATTATTTAAGCCCCTTTATCTCACCCTTCTTTGAATGAGGGTTGTGAAACTTTCTTTCCCTTATGCCCTACCCCCAGGGTCACCCCAACCCAGAAAAGAAGGAAATGTCAGAACTTTACTGTTTTAAGCTTATGGTTCACTGTAAATCAGGACAAATGCACCTGAGCAGATTTGTGGTCACATGTGAATGTCCTACAGAGTGTGGACGTGAATGCAAAGCAGAAGGCCACCAAAAGAGTGCTTTCCAGATATCTCTCCTTCCCATCCCTCCCTCCAGTAACAAATCTGCCTTAGACTCGACCATGAAGACGAATTCAAGGATACACACGCCATCCATGGCAGGATCAGCCGGGATGACCTGATAACCGTACACCTTATCTCTACACTGCACTAGCCACTCTTTCTGTATAATGGCCAACGGGTTTTTAATGTAGTTTTCATATCAGAATATCATGCCGTGATTAATGCTTTTTTTTTTTGTTTGTTTCCCAGAATAAACTGTCTTGTACCAAACATATCACTTCAAAGGATAGAGGGAATAGCTATATTTGAATACTTTTTTGTTGAAATGGAGGGTAGTGATTGACAGGAATGGGCCCATCTCAGAAGTCTACTCATGATTTCTACAAAATGTATTCAACAAGCCAGAATAAATGGTAACTAACAGGGAGATGTGTAAATCTGGGGGCAAAAAATTTTTCCTAGGAGTAACTCCTGAGGGCCTTTTATTCTAATTGGGGAAATTGGTAGGATTTCAATTATTACAGGTCTTGGCCACATTTGAATGAATTAAGTTGTCATTTAAAGTGATTCTGTTTTTTGGATACATGGGATTATATGTAATATTCAAGCACAATAAGGTTTGCACTAAAGAGATGTCATTGTAATAACACTATTTGGTAGCCTAACTTCGTGATGTGTGCTCTTAATTGCACACATATCTAAGTCGGTAATTTGTCACATTGGAGTTTTGGATGTTTGCTTTCAGTGTTGGCTATTTCTATGTTTTATAAACCAAAACAGAATTTCCAAAAAAATAACGAAGGAAACCAAAATAAATATTTCTGCATTTCATGTGAGTGAAGTGTCTTTTTTTTTTTTTTTGGTCAAATGTCATAGTTGCTCTAAAGAGGCATGATGGGGAAGCCTTCCCCTCTCCACTTCAGCGAGTTGTGTGCCCACTGTAATTTTTTCCATCCTCATTGACCATTAACAGCTTTATGACACTTAGAATAACTGACCCTGACATCTGGTCAAAATGTCATTGGCAAAGACCTAACATCTGTTGAACAAACAATAGCAAGTATCATTCTGAAAAATGCCAAATATTTTATTACAATATTGTTTCCCTCAAGATGGCGTTTTGTTGGGATCGGTTGCCAAAACATACCTTTGAACCTTTGTTCTTAGCGGCTATCAAAGTGGTAACAACGCCCTTTCTTCTCCCTTCCCTTCCCTTCAGTTACTTTTTATTTTTATGCTTTCAATTATGTTTGTTCACTCCTGGTTCCTCCCCTATAGTCTCTCCTCTTCTTCCTGTTACTTGTTTATAGCCTCTTTGAACGTTTATTTTTGTTGGGCAGTGACACTTTCATTTACAACTCCATGAGGGACCAAGCTTCCCTGTGATGAAGGAGGTGTTTTTTAAAACTTCATAAATCATGCAGAGCTGGGCAGGGATATACGGTACATCTCAGCAGCCACGTGCCCACTGCTGTGCTCTTGGACAATTAGGGTAGAGGAAAGAAATACCTTCCCATGAAACCTTTGTTCTTTAGTTTGAATTCTGGGTACAACAGAAGCCAGCTCTGAGAAGGATTACAGACTGTCCCAAACTTCCATTGCTGTGTTTTTCATCCTTTAAATACCTAGGTACTAAGTCATCCTGTTCTCTAACCACTTCTGGGCTCAGATCTCTTTCTTTTCTGCTAGCCATCATTTATATTCATTTCAGTGATTTTGTGGGAATGACTCTTGGAATAGGAGTTCTTAACTTCAGGTCTGTGAACTTTTTTTTTTTAATTTTCAGTAATTATATTTCAATATGTTGGGTGTTCTTTGTAATTCTATGTATTTTATTTTATGCACTTTATAACATTATGCAGAGAAAAGATCCTTATGTTTCATGTGACTGCCAAAGAGATCTGCAACAAAAGCTTCAAAAATTCCTCCTGTGAAATGAAGGACATTGTCCACTGTTAAAGGAGTTGTTGTTGTTCAGTTGTTTTAATCCTGTCCAACATTTCTTGACCCCATTTGGGGTTTTCTTGGCAGAGATACTGGAGTGGTTTGCCATTTCCTTCTCCAGCTCATTTTGCAGATGAGGAAATCGAGGCAAACAAGGTTAAGTGACTTGCCCAGGGTCACTCAGCTAGTGTCTGAGGCCAAATTTGAACTTAGGAAGATGAATCTTCCTGGCTCCAGGCCCAGCACACTATCCGCTATGCAACCTAGCTGCCCTAAAGGAATTGTAGGGCATCAGCAACACATGTGGATCCATTAAATCACAGATTTAAAGCTGAATTTGGAGCTACACCCAGAAAATTATCATACTCTGCATATGCTTTAACTCAGCTACACTACTTCCAGGACTATACTCCCAAAGAATCAAAGTAGGAAAGCATCTATATGTATCGAACCTTTATAGTGGTTCTTTTCATGGTAGCCAAAATTGGAAGCTAAGGGGATATCCACCTACTGGGGAATGGCAAAACTGTGGTATAGAAATGGAATAGAATATTATAGTGCCATAAGGAATAATGAAAGAGAGGTTTCAGGGAAAACTAGGGAGACCTCTGTGAACTGATAGAATGCCAGGCCAGGAGTTAGGAAGATTCATCTTCATGAGTTCAAAGCTGTCCTCAAACACCTACCATCTGGGTGGCTCTGGGCAAGTCACTTAACCTGTTTACCTCGCTTCCTCATCTGTAAAATGAGCCGGAGAAGGAAATGGCAAACCACTCCAGTATCTTTGCCAAGAAAACCCCCAATGGGGTCAAGAAGAGTTGGACACGACTGAAAAACTAGAACAATTTATACAATGATAGCATGTTAGAGAAAAACAACTTTGAAACAGATTGTAGAGCTAAACACAATGATAAAACATGAGTAAAAAAATAAAGATGAACACACCAATCATCTCTTGCATTTTTGGACATGACTGAGGGAATTTATTTTGCAGCTCTTCTCAGCAATACAATGATCTAAGTCAATTCCAAAAGACTCATGATGGAAAATGCTATTCACATCCAGAGAAAGCACTGTGGAGTCTGCATATCAAAGCATACTATTTTCTCTCTTTTTTTTCTCGTGTTTTTTTTTTTCTCTTTTGTTCTGATTCTTCTTTCACATGACTAATGTGGAAATATGTTTAATATGATTGCACATGTATAGCCTATATCAGATCACTTGCCATCTGGGGTAGGGGAGGGAGGGAAGGAGAAAAAAAAATTGGAACTCAAATATTATAAAAGTGAATGTTGAAAACTGAAAAAAAAAAAAAGGAATTCTCAACTTGGGATCCACAGATACCCCCAAGGGGTCTCTAGAAAAATCTTAGGGGATCTATGAACTTGGATGGGGAAAAAAAAACTATATAGCGTCTAACTGAAATTTAGCACTTCCTTCTATTGTGAGTGTAGGCAACAAACCATAATTTGGAGAAGGGGTCCATAAACTTTACCACGCTGCCCAAGGGGCTGCTGATACACACTAAAAGTTAAGAACTTTTTTTTTTTAGGCAATTGGAGTTAAGTGACTTGCCCAGGGTCACACAGCTAGTAAGTTTCAACTGTCTGATCTGAGGCCAGATTTGAACTCAGGTCCTCCTGACTTCAGGACTGGTGCTCTATCCACTGCACCACCTAGCTGCCCCAAGAACCCCTCTTCTTAGGGGAACTGTATGAAATAGAACAACTAAATGGATTATGGAAATAAATAATTTATGAGGGTAGAGAAGAGAAAGAAAAGAGTCAAAAGATAACAGGGATAAATAAAATACCCAACTTTACCAAGCAATTGCTTGAAATTTCAAGGACTAAAACAATTCCCTAATTTATTTCATTTTTCTTCTCCTTTTCCCTGGTGGAGATAAGAATGATCAGTGCTGTACTTAGAAAAATGAAGCTCAGGGCAGCAGTGGGACCTGAATAATCAGAACTTTACCTACGTAATAAGTCTGGGTAACCTCAACTTAGATGATAGAATACTAACTGTACCATTGGATAAGTAAAGTTGTAGTAATGCATGGAGCCAACTCCGAGGTATTTTCCCTAGGGTGTATTAGAAGAGGGCACCCTCTCCTCTAGCTAGATTTCTTCTGCTCACAGAACCCTCACCTTTACCCTCACCATGACCAGTCATAATCCCTTGACTTACTGCTAGTCTCCTGGTCTATCTCCTTCTCTGGTTTTGCTTGCCTCTATATTCAGACTTTTCTGCCTGGTTTGTCATTTTAATGTTTCATTCACTGTTTTCTTTTGTTCCCTGAACTGCCATAGTTCTCTGCCTATGAATGTGAACCGTTGGGTAGCCCACTACTTACTTCTGTGATTCTGTGATTTTCTCAAGTGATGTTCAATAGCTATAGGGCAAGAATGAACTAATTTGGACAAGTCACCCTGTAACCAGCCTGCCTGTTTCCTCATCTATAAAATAGGATAATAACTGCCCTTCCCTGTTGTTTTTTGTTGCTGTTCAATCATGTCTGACTCTTCGTAACCCCATTTGGGGTCCTTGGCAAAGATACTGGAGTGATTTGCCATTTCCTTCTCCAGCTCATTTGACAGATGAGGAAACTGAGGCAAATGGGGTTAAGTGACTTGCCCATGGTCACACTGCTAGTGTCTGAGGTCTGATTTGAACTCGGGTCTTCTTGACTCCAAGCCCATCACTTTGTACACTAGCTGCCCGTACTACCTGTGTGATCTTGTGCAAATCACTTAGCCCTTCTAAGCCTCAGTTTCCCAATCTCTAAAATGAGATAGTTGACCCCATGCAGCTCTAGACCTATTGAAACTACTCATCTAAAACTACTTGGAACAAAGTGCCCCTTCTCTCCAAATTTTTAAAAACATATCACATGAACACACTTTCAAATTTAATCATCATCATTCACATTTTGCCCATCACGTTCTTAAGTCTAGACAATCAACAAGATAGCAAACCAAGCCTGAACTTGCAGTGTTTCCTGCTTTCCAATGAAAATGAACATTTACTTTTACACAAAAATTTGATCAGAAAATGAACATTTACTATTACATGAAAATTTGATCATTGGTGGACTGGTAGCATCTGGCTCCGGCGCAGCACTGCCTGTTAGAATGTAAGCTGCTTGAGGGCAAAGGATGTTGTACTTTTTCCATTTTTATCCTCAGTGATTAGCACAATGCGTTGCACATAGTGAGTACTCACGTGCTTTTCCTTTTACTTACCCAGTATTCTGACTGGGCAAGTTTATTAGGTTGAGCATTTTTGTTTAAGACCACAAGGTGGCAGACAAAACATGGCTCTAAAGAATTTGACCATTTCAGAGTTTCAAAAGCAATTCAGTTTGAATTTGAAATTATAATGACCAAGCTAGACCCCAAAGAAAAGGCATGAGGAGGCATCCCTTCACCCCATGGCCTGCCTTCTTACAGAGGACTACTTGTGTAGTCCTGTGGGTATGAAGTACTACATAAAACTATGACTTTTTGCTCTATTTTTTTCTCTCACTATTCTTTGTTGAAAAGCATGGCTCTCTGGATGGGGAGGCGAAGAGATATACTGGGGAATGTAAGTAATGTATAGACAAAAAAAGTGTTCATTTTCTCACATTTCATCACTTTGCAAGAGCCAATCAGCCTTCTTACTCACAACTCATTTCTGCAGGGTAGTGCTAGAAACTTCTCCATTTAAGGAAGGAAAAGGGCCTGCCATCTCTTCAGACAGCACCTCATTTCTCACCTGGCTATACTCCTTTGGTATTTCTTTGATGGATACCAATTACCATTCCTGCCACCATTCAGCTTTTTTGTATGATCTCTTCCCCCAATGTATATATAGAGAATGGAGAATGTGCCTCTGGTTGGGAG